TTAATGCAGGGTCATTCTAAACCCTGTATAGCATAATCCTGGGTTAACTTGCTTCATGGTGCACACTATTTATACTTTGCCCTGGATTTGTAATTAATGCTGGGCAGTGGGGTTCATACTCTACATTTGGAAACCTTGGGTTAATGTTCCTATTTGCATATTTATGAGGTCAATAAGATTGATTGGCAAATGACCTGTTTTAATAACTGCATGTCCATCTCTGAAAATGTTTAATGTTAAAGTGAAGGTTTCTATGGCAAAACACATGAATATTGAATGAGGCCGTTTATGATTGGTTTTCTGTTGATGAATAATTTGCTGTAACGTTCTAGCACTGCATCATTTCACACTGTATAGTGTGAACCTTTGCCTCTGCAATTCGTGAAGATTTCATTACCTGGGGTTAAAAGTGGTGCTAACCTCTTTTCAAAATTACACGAGTGAAATGTTCCATAACCCAGGGTAAAGAGTGGCCTTACCCAGGGTTAAAAAGATGATAACCCAGGGTTAAATACAACGTGAAAAACCCTGAAGGGATTTGCGGCTTTATGAATGGATGGCAGAGCAGTTATGCTTCAAGATGGATACATCAATGAAATATTACACATATGTCAACATAGTTGAATGTCATTAAAATTAATGATCAATTAATCATTTTAATCATTGACTTTAAAGCAACAAAATGCATGTGGAAAAGTCAAAATATTACCCGGACATAACCTGAAATTATTTGACAATTGGTAAGCTTAAAGGTGCAGTAGGAGATCTTGGAAAATGCTAACTTTAGCCTGATAGCACTGAAAGCGAACGTCCCACCCTCCCTGCAATCGCTGTCCAAAGCCACGCCCCCTGAACGCATATACACTCACTCATAGACCAGAATACCAGAAACAACATTACTACAATAGGCTACATCAGCGGTTCCCAATTGCAGCCCATGTTCCGAAGTTAAATAAACTTCAACGGATTTCCCCCACTCAGGGAGTAGGGAGCAATGAACACTGTGTTATCATATCGATCGGAACACAGTTCATGCACGTAGCTCTCTTCTAACGAGCTGGTTATCTGAATCGGGTGTGTTAACTAAGCGAGACATGCTAAATACATGCGCGAGGACTGGAATTGGGAACCGCTGGGCTGCCTACATCATGTGTCATTCACCGGTGAGAAAACTTTAAAAGTACTACAATACCAGGAAGGAAGATTGGGTTGTTGATTCTCTGCCATTCTCGCTCAGTCTGCACAGCGTGTGTGAACGCGCTGATGACGTATCCTGTCTGTGCGAACCGGGTGCGCAGAGGTATGCTAATACATACGTTGACAGGCAGGTAGGAAAGCCAATTAAAACGCTCGGACAGAGCGTTTTGATTGGACAAACATTTCTTGGTCCTACGCCTTCCACAGAATATATAAATACAGATAAATACATTTAGACCACTTAACTTAATGCTTGCTATCGGGATGTGAAGAGACTTTCAACCAGCATAACAAAAAATGTTTCTGAAGACAATCACCTATTGCACCTTTAATTAAATAATTAAACTAAATTATTAACATCCCTATTGCACAATCTTGTAATCAAATGCTTCTGTTCAAAGCAGGTACTGCCAGCTGATACAAATGTCCAGCTTATCAGCAGCTTGATATAAATGGATGCTGAATTCACCATTGTGGGCACCAGGGAAATAGACACTGAAGCATATCATCCACAGCAAGATCCCATTAGCTTGAGCAGTTCCCAACATGATTGTCATCTGGCTCAGACTGAGTGATGCTACAGTATCAGCTGCAGATCTTATCTGGCTTTGCTTTGCTCCTTGGCAGTTGTCTTTCAGGGCCTGTTTCGAAATAAGAAACTGCGACTTCCTCCTGTAACAAACAAACAGGGAGGTTGTTTATTGGAACGGTTTGCTTGTAAGAGGCTTAGAATAGTCATTCCCATGACCTTGATCAGATCTGTCATTTAGATATGACCCGGACTCTGACTTCCTAGTTATGTCGCTCACCTCTGTTAACAGCAAGTGCATGCTTTTGTATCTGTTCAGCTAGGAAAAGCAACTTCACTCTGCACAGGGCGATTCGGACAAGGTTATGTGTTCTAAATGAAGCCTTTCTAAAGAGGGAAGCTTCCCTAAAGTGGTCAATCGTCCTTGTGTGTCGGAGTGATGTGCGTGTTGCGTGTACACATAATAAGTATAAGTAAATGCTGTTTTCTAAAACATGAAACATCACTCCATTCTTATTGACACACCATACTCATCTTGTTTTCTGTTGCAGAGTGGCGGCAGGGGCGACTGGCGAGGATCATTCTGCAGGATGAGGATGTCACTACTAAGATTGATAATGACTGGAAACACCTGAACACACTAGCACACTATCAGGTATGGTTACTGTCCACACCTGAGCTGTTACCATGGAAACAGCCTTAATAAAGGTGTAATGGACAGAGAATACCAGAATTAGGTGGTGGTCCCTGAATACATTCAGGGTTCTCTTGGTCATGGAAAATCTTGGAAATTATAAGTTTGGGATCAGTAAGATTTGTAATGTTTTTTAAAGAAGTCTCTTCTGCTCATCATGGCTGCATTTATTTGATTAGAAATACAGGAAAAAACGTAATATTGTGAAATATGATTGCAATTTAAAATAATGGTTTTCTTTTTTAATATACTTTAAAATATAATTTATTCCTGTGATGCAAGAGACTTCTTTAAAACGCATAAAAAATCGTACTGATCCCAAACTTTTGAACAGCAGCGTATATACTGTATATATATATATATATATAATGGAAAATTCTTCAGTGAATATAAATATGTGGTCAAGCCAAATTCAAATTTTAGTGGGGTTTTTTTTTTTTTTTTTTGGTATCCAAATAATATCCTAATTCGAAGTATACTTACCTGGTATACAAATGTAAATGATTTCCAGTAATCTCTATCAAATTATTTTAATGGTAACTCACTGAAATAAAGTGGGAATTTAAAAGTTGTTTTTCTACAAAACATTTGTAATCAAGTCAACATATTAGTCATATGTCTTACGTCGCTGGGGTATATTTGTAGCAACAGCCAAAAATACATTGTATGGGTCAAAATTATAGATTTTTCTTTTATGCCAAAAATCATTAGGATATTAAGTAAAGATCATGTTCCATGAATATATTTTGTAAATTTCCTACTGTAAATATATTAAAAGTAAATTTTTGATTAGTAATATGAGTGAGGCCTCGGTATGAGTATCTCGGCCAAATATTGTCCTATCCTAACAAACCATACATCAATGGAAAGCTTATTTATTAAACAAATCGACCCTTATGACTGGTTTTGTGGTCCAGGGTCACATATATCAAACACTACCGGTAAAATAATTGGGATAATTTTGTAATGTTTTTAAAAGAAGTCTCTGATGCTCACCCTGGCTGCATTTATTTTCTCAAAAATACAGTAAAATCAGTAATATTCTTAAATATTATTACAATTTAAAATAACTGTTTTATTTTATTTTTATATATTTTAAAAAAATCTTTTTTTTTTTTTTTTTTGCATCTGATACACAATATACAGGTTGATCTGTGTGCTGAGTATTGTGGCATAATATATCTATGACATGCAGAGTATAGCCCGCTAATGTCTCTGTGATTTGAGTTTTTCTGAGTATATTGCAGTAATGTTGTGCTTCTTACTGTCCTCAGGTAACAGATGGGTCTGTTATCGCCCTGGTGCCAAAGCAAAACTCTGCGTACAACATCTCAAACTCGTCCACCTTCACCAAGTCCCTCAGCAGATACGGTAAGAACTCTGTCTCAAATTCTTGTTTTGATTTTCTCCTCAGAACGTTCAAGTCTCGTCTCCTCAGAGAATTTCATCAGAAGAGTGAGATCATGTGTAACCAAAATACTTGTATGTATTGCACCCAGAGCTCACTGGCCTCTATTTTTCCCCTGAAAATGAGGACTCACACTAGTATCGTGTCTTTGTTTCAATTTCAAAAAGCTGGTAGACTTAATGTTTTTCCGCTGTTCCTTGTGATGATTTTGTTTTGTATTCTGGACACTTTGTGTGTTTGTGCGAATAAGAGATGGTGATAGTACAGAGCTGAAGGTGTTTTGTTCCTCAACCCAAAAAAAGGGAAGGCGATCAGAGAGAAAAAGCTGTTTAATGTTGTCTGTCCTCCTGAGAAGCGAGTATCGGTGATTGCCGCAGAATTACATGCACTCAAGCCATGGCTCTCTCATGGCAGACGTCCATTATATTTCCCTTTGAGAGGGGGCTTCATGTCTGGAATAATTCTCTGAGTGCTCAAACACCGGACACACATTCGTATTGTTGTTCAAGTCGTGTTTCACTCGTTGCCATAGAAACAGCAGCGGTTAGCACAGTCACTGTGGTGTCAGAGTTGATGCTGATGTAGATCGTCGTTGGTCATTTCATGATCTGGCTCTGACTTTTTTTTTTTTTTTCCCTGGATATGTAAGCTTGTGAAAATACCTTTGAACATTGTTCCAAATCCTTTCACACCCCAGCACAGGAAGTGAAATCATATCTTCAATACCCCAAGGAACGTTCCTCCCCTGCCTCCAGAATGGACACGGCGATAAGAGCACTGGACAGATATGCATCTCCCTGGGCCTCCGTAATGAAGTTTGACACTCATACCATTAATAATGAACGATGCATTCACAGGCCATGGGAGAGAACAGAGGAAGTCTTATTTCAGACTGCTCACGGGGTATTTTTATATATTCGTGTCATCCTTTATTATCCTGAGCTGAGCATTATATGCGATTTGTGTCACATTGAGAAACGAGATACAAACACTTGCGTGTTGCTAGCACCATGCAGGCATGAATGGCCTGTTTGACCAGAAACATACTCATAAAAATATAGAAACTTACATCTGCAAATACACAAAGGCAAATGTTTGGCCAGCGATCAACCAATGGGGTTTTCTATGGCTGATATTTCAGTATTTAGAAAGCAGGGTGACTGATATAACGCTGATATATACAGAAGCAAATAAAATCTACAACTTTTTTCAAAAGTTTGGGGTTTGTTAGCTTTTTTATAGGCTGCATTTATTTGATAAAAAAATACAGTAATATTGTGAAATAATATTGCAATTTAAAAGAATTGTTGTCTATTGTAATATATTTTTGAAAATTAATTTATTCCTGTGGTGATGAAGCTGAATTTTCAGCCGCCATTACTCCAGTCTTCAGAATCACATGATCCTTCAGAAATCAATTTAATATGCTGATTTGGTGCTCAAGAAACATTTCTTATCATCAATGCTGAAAACAAGCATTATTTATCGGCTTTAAGATATCGGCCAAATTTTCTTATCAGGCCGATACCGATAACAGAAAAAATGAGCATTTATCAGCCAATACCGATATGGTGGCCGATATATCGTGCATCCCTAATGTTTTGTTTTGTTTTTTGTTTTGTTGGAAACCATAATAAATTTTTCAGGATTCTTTGATATAAATTTTAAAAGAAAATTATTTACTTTAAACAATAATCTTCTTTAGTTAAATTATAAATGTCTTTATAAATTATAAATGTCACCTTTGATACATTTAATGCAAGCTAGATATTGTTCAGTTATGTACATGTCTGAAAGCTAATTTCTAGTTTACATGAACTAGAAACTTGACCGTAGAAGACTATTTATGCTAATAGACATCATTGCGGCAACACTATGAACGCAACACACACTTGTTTTGCTTTATTAATTGTGTTCTGACACATTTCGGTGCCTGAACGTCTGTGTTGACATACTTACATAGAGTAAGTTTCAGCCATTAGTGTTTATCGCCGTTATCTTGTGGTCTCTTTGTAGTGTAAAAAGCTCATTCCCTGGTTTATTTATCCCTTTTTTTATTATTCATTTGCTTTTTTACTATTATGTTTTTCTAAGCCTTGACTTTTTTATGTGGTGTAATATAAAAGTGCTGCGAGGAGCCGAATTAAGCTTACAGTGGCTGTTTCTTTCAAGCACGCTGGCCTGCCAGTCTGTGACTGATTAACTAGACTCCAGACGCGGGACTCTATCTTTCACTCCCACTTGCCACTTAAGGATAGAATAAACCTGAGGGAGTTTTTGATGGATTCTGCAGATGCAGTATATTCATTGTAGTTTAGGGCATCCACAGGAAATGATCCTTACCCAGAATGCCTTATCCTCAGACAGATTACTGTGCTTAACCATCCATTAGCCAGAGCTCAGCTCCTCTCTGCTCTCATCTTTGATGTGTAACTCCTGGGTATTAAGCAGCCGACTGCTCATCAGATAGAAGAGACCGCCGGACCTGATTTACAACCGCCAGTGTGACTGTTTTATGCTGTTTAGGTTTTTGGTTTATATTATATTTATGAAGATGTGTGGGTTCAATACTACCAGAGATCTCTGAACCATCCAGATAGCAACGATTATGATGAAAAAAAAGCCATGCGTTACAGTGATTTTAATGCTGTATGTGTACCTAAAACACCCTTGACTAAGGTAAAATTACTGTAATGCATGGCCTTTCAAGGCATATTGCTTTTATGAAATGGCAGCAATATAAGGAACATGATAAAATACATAAATTTTTACTAGATAGTTTGTTGAACTATAACATTAATCAGAATGAACCATTCTTTTGGCCAGTATCATAATTTCTTTGCCTAGCAAATATAAAAATAGAGCTATCCATGTTATAAAATGCTAGAAATCTTTTGATGATTGACTCAGTGTTTCTCTTCAGAGAGTATGTTGAGAACGGCCAGCAGCCCAGACAGTCTACGGTCCAGGACGCCCATGATCACGCCCGATCTAGAGAGCGGTACCAAACTCTGGCACCTCGTCAAAAACCACGACCACGCAGATCAACGTGAGGGCGATCGCGGGAGCAAGATGGTGTCAGAGATCTACCTGACACGACTGCTGGCCACCAAGGTGAGCTTGCATGAAGTTTTCTCTCTTAAACCTGTTATTAAGATGTGTTTTGGTCGATTGGATCACGAGGGAGTAGATGGAGACACATTCTCGTTCTGTTTAAGAATTAGGTCAGTAGGCAGAGAGGAACCGATCTTCATGTGGTTCATTTGACCACATGAACGTTTACACTATGAAAGCAATCCAGTCAAATGCGTTTTAGACTACCTCTGGAAATGGTTGGATGTGGACGAGCTGAAAACCTTTCAGCCCCTGTTCACACCTGTATTTAGCGTTGTCCACTTGTGATCGGATCGACAAAAATGCATCTTAAGAAATGCCTAAGAACTGAGATGAACTTTTAATTCAATTGTGTCCGTCATTAGGTTTTGAGGATGATGAAAACGATGCAACATTTAGCTTTTATCCTAACATGCATTAAGCAATGAAGGACAGGACAGTTTGTTGATTTCTATTTCTTTGTTTTCTATTTGCTGTTGTGCTGGGAAAAACTGCCTACCATGAATCCCATTGGTCCAAAATCCTGCAAAATAAACATAAAATATGTTCTGATTGGCTGTAATTGTCACAGGTTCACATTCAGTGTTGACGGAGAAATTGCTTGAATCTTGTCACATCGCACCTGGTTAGGACACAATATAATATTCCTGCTGTCTCATTTCCACTCTTCTATCTTCCTACCCCATTCTTGGTTCTGTAGCTTATTGCTTTGCCTCCTAATTGTTAGGCTAGGGAAAAAATGAAATCAGAATATGTTTACAAGTCTCGCGGGTGGTCAATTTTGATACATAATAAAAAACGATAGATAAATGTAATGCTGGAGCGGAAGAGAACAGCAGGAGACAGATAATTTGTTGTGGATCGAGTGCTTCATGGTGCGTGGTGACAGAGCACGGAATGAATGCTGGGAAACCTCATGGACTGTGTCTGTCTGTCTCATATACACACACACACACACACACCAGCATCCTAATCAACACAATCCATATTATCTGAGAGCCACTGCTGTTCTCCCGCTCTCAGAGATGATGAATAAACCGACATCTCCGGTTTGGCTGCTCGAGGCTCTTTAGTGATTTTTGGCCTTTAGTAAGTTTTTGCAAGTACCGAATTCGTGCAAGTAGCTGTTATGATCAATAGGATAGTTTACAGCCGAGAAAGTTCTAGTAGCTTCAAATCATTAGGTTTTCAGGCTTTTTCTGTCGGTCAAATTTCTGTAATACAGTGGTGTCAGCTTGTGGGTAAAAAAAGTTGATAAATGTAATTAATAAAATGCAACTAACCATAATATTGTGCATAAAATAAAATAAAAATTTAGCTTTTAAAACAGAAAGGAAAAACCCTTCCCCATATTTTGTTGATTACATCAACAGTCAACTGTTTGCCATGTTAATATTTAATAATAATGGTAACAATAAACAATTCCAGTATTTAATGTTAAGTAGAATTTATTTTCATTTTGTGTGATAATTTAGGTAATTTTGCTGTTAGCTAGCAACTTGAAGTCAAAAGCGTGGTTTTGGGGCAAAACCAGTTGACAACCCCTGATTTAATATTAATTGTATATGAAAGATATGACATTTGACAGTCCTATTCATTTAGAGTCACAGGTAAAACATTTCTGTTTTCTTCTTTCCCTAAAGGGTACTTTACAGAAATTCGTTGATGATTTGTTTGAGACGATATTCAGCACGGCTCACCGTGGCAGTGCCCTCCCTCTTGCCATCAAATACATGTTTGACTTCCTGGACGAGCAGGCGGACAAACACCAAATCACAGATTTAGATGTTCGGCATACCTGGAAGAGCAACTGGTGAGGAGCGGCACTGCTTAAACATTTCATCCATTGTAAAATTACTGTTTCATGAAATCAGTTGGACTTTTTTTCTAACCATCTACCCATTCCCTTCCCCTTGTCCTCAGTTTGCCATTAAGGTTCTGGGTGAACGTGATCAAGAACCCCCAGTTTGTGTTCGACATCCACAAGAACAGCATCACAGATGCGTGTCTCTCCGTAGTGGCCCAAACATTCATGGACTCCTGCTCTACATCTGAACACAAGCTCGGCAAAGATTCCCCTTCCAATAAGCTGCTCTACGCTAAAGATATTCCCAACTACAAGAACTGGGTAGAAAGGTAAGTGGAATGAGATCTTGCTTAGCAGAAAATGCCCTTATTAGTCATTAATTATAACCTTCAAAGACCCCAAATCATCACGCTCATCTGGACCTGCTGTTTTGCTGTCCTGCAGGTATTACTCAGACATTGCGCGCATGCCCGCCATCAGCGATCAGGACATGAGCGCTTATCTCGCGGAGCAGTCCAGACTCCACCTGAGCCAGTTTAACAGCATGAGTGCCCTCCACGAGATCTACTCCTACATAACCAAGTACAAAGACGAGGTGAGAGAAAGAAAGGCAGACGGAATATGTCATGTTAATATTTGTACATTGTTTGAGCAATGCAGTTAATGGTCATAATAAACCATTTGAATATTTAATGTTAAGGACAATTCATTTTAGTATGTTAAATTTAGGTAATTTTGATGTTGGGTAGCAACTTTGTTGACATTTTAGGCAAAACCAGTTGAACCATATATATATATAATTTCTTTTGTTGTAAATAATATGCATAATATGCCATAAGTAACAAACATTTCAAACACATCGTCACATGACCACACTGTTGCATGGCTAGTTCCACAAGTTGCATCTAGTTATCTCAGAAATTAATAAAAAAAATTGCATAAAACTTAAATCAAACACTGAGTCAAGAAATAGATGTTTGAGCAACATTAGATACAAAATCCCAGTTAATATCACTTTCAGTTTATTTTGGAAATAGAAGGTCAAGTTGAGCATGTTACATCATGGGATACACTATTTCATAGTGCGCTCTGGTTGCACACCTTACAATTCAGCAATTCAAAATCAAAGCTGATTCATGCATACAGAAAATTATTTTGTTATAAATAATGCATGCTATTTTATTTTTTAAATAGTGTGTAGAATGCTATTATTCTATGGAAGCCCGTTTCTGCCACTGAATTAAAAAAAATAAAAAAAAAAAATAAAAGTTGTTACGACTTTTTCAATTGTGAGTTTATATCTCACAATTCTTTGAAAAAAAAGTCAGAATTGTGAGATATAAACTCACAATTGCAAGTTATAAAGTCAGAATTGCGAGATATAAAGTCACAATTGCGAGATAAAAACTTGCAATTCTGACTTTTTTTCTTGCAATTGCGAGTTTGTATCTCACAATTCTGACTTTATAACTCGCAATTCTGAGAAAAAATGTCCGAATTGTGAGTTTATATTTCGCAGTTCTGACTTAATTTCTCAGAATTGCGACTTTGTCTCACAATTGCGAGTTTATTCAGCAGACAGACACATACCCAAAGGAAGTGATGAAGTCAAGTGGTTAAAGATCTTGACTGGTAGAAGGTTGTAGGTTTGAACCCCACCTTGTTTAAAATCAGTATTATTATTGTGAACCATTACATTTAAATTCACTGAAACAACTTTTCTTTTCAGCTGACATCATCAAGCCAGATGATTAGCCCCTAATAGCCCCTCCCCCAGCAATTTTTCATGATCCAATCAATTCCCGTTGCATAAAATCGGGATAAAAAAATAGAAAAATGCATAAAAAAAGTTTTAATGGGTAACAAACACTTTAAAGATGACTTTAAAGTCTCCTTGGTAGTTTACTTACTAGTTCATAAAACCTAATTGGGATATAATGGGTGTTGTAGTGATTTTGGTGTAATTTTTGTATCTATATTTATCTTTTTCTGCATCCTGACCGACACAGGAAACATCTTTAAGCACTTGTGCAATAAAATAAAGAGCAAAAACCCATGTTAAGTGTGTAATTAAGGCTTTGTGTATTTTATCATTTCTATGCTGAGAGAGTGGAAATGTTATGGGAAATTTAATTTTTTCGTGCAAGCTTGTTGCCTCATAAACCAACTAAATAAGTACCAACTAAACTGTGACAGCACTCAAATCTGAGGTAATTTCCTCCTCTACAGATCCTGTCTGCACTACAGAAGGACGAGTTAGCTCGGCGACAAAGACTGCGCAGTAAACTGGAACAGGTTATCGATACCATGGCTCTAGCAAGCTGAGGACACCCCCTCCCCGTCTCTCCACCCACCTCAGCTGACTCCCTCCGACCTCCTGACCCTCGCCCACAGTCATACACATGCACGCGTGTGCGCACACACACACACACACACACACACACACACACACACACACACTAAGCTAACAGACTGCAAGGACAGAAGCAGTACACTGGAGACCCCTCAGCCCAGGGTGGAAATCCTCTTTCATCACTTCCTTTGAACTCAACATGCACCAGAATGTCTCCTCGGATGCCACGTCCAACCAATAGGACTGGACTTTGTTTTTTGGATTTTTATCATTTTGAATTGTGTGTTGAGCCACGCTTGTGTGCTTTTACTCACCAAGGATGACTTGTATTATGAGCCAGAATACCTTAAAGCCCATGAAGGATAAAAGCGGTGTGTCTCCCCCCCCCCCCACACACACAAATGGAATTTTGTTTACTCGCTCAATTAACATTTTTATTTTTTTTTTGGTAACTCTTTGGGTTGATTGAACAACTCACTCACTCCAGTCTCCTGCCACTTGTGTTACTGCTGAATTTGCACAATTTACAGGAACTACAACAAATGAAAATGGTATAAATATATATATAAATGTGTATAGATATATAAATACAACTGCATTTTTATACAAAAAGAGTGAAAAGATGCATACAAAGTTTTCCATTTTAACATAGAAAAGAATAAGATGAATTTGATATGTGAAACAAAGACTGAACTATGAAAAACAAATTGAAAAAAATGTCCTGTGCCATGTTTTATTTGAATGTTGTTTAGTGCAAAAAAAAATATTTTCTTTAGATAAAATGTGCTATGATTTAAATGTTGACCACCCTAGTGACTGAAGAACTGAGAGTGAAAAAAATGTGACAAACTCAGACAAATGTGTTCCCATGTGATACCTAGTGTTTTTGGGGGAAATTGTCCTCACGAAAAACAAGGTTTATTGTTTAGTTGGTGGATGAATCTGTGTATTTAGTTTGTACACTTTTTTTCAACCTTTATTGCTATTATGGTTTCAGTCTGAAAGCCACTTGAGAACATATTCTTTGCTATCCCAAGCAAAAACTCGATCGATAATTAATAATTGACCGTTTTCATCTCGTGTTCATTTCTCATATTCAGATGTGAGCACTCTAAGCTTCAGTCATTTTTGCACAAATCAGTCTAGAATGAAGGAAAACTTGAGATTGAAGAACCGACGAATGTGTTCCGTTACTGATGATGTCACAATCTGGCATTCCGAGAAGTTTCAGTGACATCACAGTAAATGTAGCAAATGTTAATTCCATGCAGTTCCACTTCTCTTTTAGCTGTTTACATTTTTTAAAAGCTTAAAAATCAAACTGTGGCACACAGAACGTGTTTTTAAGCTAAATAATTGTACGTGAATGCTACCCATCCACGACATCTGATAGTTAAGCTAAGTTGATTTGAATTCATCTCAGAAAGGCGGTAACTATCGTGTCACGTTCTTAAAACACCTATCATGTCAGCAGTAGATGCTTTTTTGTAAGTAGAATCTTTTTATGGAGTATTTTTATTTATTTTTTTGTTCAATTTGAGCTCATTAAGCTACTTGGCTTCCTTATGCCATTTTTATTTGACATTTTTGTGCTTTTTATTAATCGTTCCTCTTGATTTTCAACGGGCCACGAACTCATTTCCATCAAGATTGGTGGTTTGCAGTGTTACAAATACAAATGTGAAGCGATTCTCAAACCGTTTCAGGGGTATCAAGCGGATGAAGTCGAGCTCTGCTTTACTTTTCTTCACCATCTTGGTTGTTTTGGAGTTTCTCTTTATCTTCTCTCTTGCGAGCGTCGGTAACTCTGCGAGGATATGTATTGTAGTGACTCGCTTTAATGTGCTGCAGCAGTTCTCTTAAAGTCAGTCGTGTTCAAACAAGAGAAAGCCTTTCCTCCTTTGGCTTTCCACTGAGATTAAAGCAGAAGTAGGCTTTCTGAGATGTGATAGAAACATCTTTGAAAGATTTAGGTCAGAAACCCAATGAGAGAAAGATCGAGGCGCACCAACCGAACGTTTGGCGGTTTCTCACTCGTGTTACCTCAGCCATACATCAGGGTTCATTCCAGCTGGGAAAGTAATAATGAATCACTCTTTACACATTTATTTATTTTGGGATTGCGGTTTACGTTATTGATTTTATGCCATTGCGATTTCTCCTAATCAACCGGGAGCAGGTCTCCACAACCCTACAACGTATCTTCCACGGCAAAGACAATCTCTGTTTAGACTCAAGATGTTCACCTGTTTCGTTTTCAGTCTTCCCACAGATGTCTACTGAAAACTAATTAGTTCGATGTTGGATTTGCTTGCTTGTTTGTTTGTGTTTGGCTCTCATAAAATCTTAGCGATCATTTCTGTCATTCTTAGAGCAAACTCAAGCTACGTGGAAGGAATCATCAATGAAATAGATAGATATACCGGACGCACTACTGTCGGACTTGTATGTCTTAATTTTAAGAGTAGAAGGAAAGGGCTGAACGTTTAGCATTGCAGGTGACTTAGACCCCTCCATCCGGCCTTCCTTATGTTAGTATGATAAGTTCATTTTCAGTAGATGAGTTTCTGCATGCTTCAACATTACAAAATGATTTGAGAATACAAGCATGCTGTTCTACTTTCATTCCAAAGGCTGAAGATGTTCATTCTACATATCATAATGTACGGTCTAGCCATGTTTTTTAAATTTTTTTATCGTCGTTGTCCAGATGGAAAAATCTCGATGTGCTTTGCTTTGTGCTACGGTAGCGGGACTTTGGTGATGGTGATTGTAAAGCAGCTGGTTGCATTGTAATGTCTCAGGACATGTTTCACTTTGATGTTGTCTTTGCCTTTCTTTTCATTCGATTTGTTTTTTATGACGAGTGCTATCTTTGATTTTTGATCGTTTTTAGATGTTGAGTTGTGGAACATGTGAAACTCTTCAGAGATATTCTAACCTTTCAAAGATTTCGCTGTGTAAAGTATTTTTTAGTGATGCCTCTCATTTTACGACAGTTGTTTTGAGAACTACTTTGAGTACAGGAACAAACAAGCAAAAAATAAGTTGTAGAAGAGGGAAAACGAGCCGAACAAAAGGTGTTTCAGACTCTCAGAGCTTTCGTTTCGCACAGAGTGCCTTGTCAACTCCTCTCTCGTTCTTCTCAGCTTCCTCCGACCCTTCCATTACCCACAATCCATCTCTTTCCATACGCCTCTTTATCGCTGTCTGGTCATGCCCTCTTTCTTCCTCTCCTCCTCAGTCCAAAAGACCAATCCGGGTTTTGATTTCCGCTCATGGTGTTTCCAGATTGAAGAAAAAAATCATTTTTTGGAAGGATTAATTAACTTAAGCGAAGGAACAAAATGTGAGCATGTAGATTTCAAAGAAAACAAAAACTAAATAATTTTAATACTTTATTAATTCTGATACCTTTTGAAGAGTTTCAGACTTGAATCAACTGTGACAGGCTGGCTGTTAAATGCTCATTGTGTAAATATTGTGCTCTTTCCTATTTTGCAAATTTATTATGTGTAAATAAACACATGCATCAAGGAGAGATTAAACATTTTTCGCTAAAATTGCTCGTGTCCCCGGTCTTCTGATTTTTCAGTTATCATTTTAATATATCATATATAATAGATGTGTTAACTGTCAAATTTAGTGGCTAGAAAAAAGGTCCATTGTCACTTGTATAGCAATGCATGAGGATCACTTTTCAACCACTCAACTTTTTGTTGGTCAGCATAGCGAATTCGTGCCACCTTCTTGAACACAATACAAAATTCATGAAGAGAAATGTCTACGACTGAAAATATTTATTGTTCACCAACAATAAATATGTGACACCTTAAGGGCTGTCGCATGAATTCACAGACCTGGGGTGAAATTTTATGGTTGGGCCCCTATTATGGTTCCTAAGGAGCCATTTCATGAATAAGGCAATCCCAGAATGCATTGTGATGAACTGGAAAAAAATTAACCAAGATGATATGCTGATGATGATTATAAATACATTCAATATTGAAAAAAAAGAAAGAAAAAAAACATATGTATATACATATAAATAAAACGACTATAACAAATAATAAAACTATTTTTACAATTTTTTAAATATAGCACACATACAATCAAACACCTTATATAAAAATAGAAATAGCAAGTAAAAGTGATCAAATCTTAAACTTTAAACAAGGACCGGAATGGGACACGTCCCATTTAAATAGTTTTTGATGTTGTCTTAGAAGACAGCTGCCAAGCGATCAAACTAGGCTTTGAAACACCAGTGAATGGTATGTGTGAATGTTTATCTGATGGCGTCCTGACATTTGAGTCCCAGTAATGACGGAGGAACTGAGATTTGGCTCTTTATTCAGCTCAGTGAGCCCCGCCAGATGAAACTGCCCCCATTAGTTTGGAGCATATAATCGCTCAGACTAATTCAATTAAAACTCTTTTTGAAGGAAAGCTCAAATTGCCCTATGATTGCGAGCCCACCGAGTCTTTAAATGATTCTGTCAGACTCAAATGTGCGTGTACCAGTAAAGCTGTGATTTATGGCTGCCTGGCAGTGGATGTGATTTTCTTTCCTCTAAGCAGTTACAGTCAATGACGGCCGCTGCAAACGGCGAGAGCAATTAAAGCTCCATTCCACTTTTGTTGCTAGATGAGCGTTTGGAGCGACACAATGATGCTCTGATTCTCTCAGTGAATAGCTTCACACACGTCACTTCTTCTCAGGCACCTTTTCAAGAAGTGTTCATTTGCCTGTATGAGTGGTTCTACTGCTTTCCCTTCAGATTTCTGCATGCCTGGTGTTTAGATTTTTTTTATTAAAGGGGACATCGGATGCAAATTTCACTCAGAGCATTGTGTGGACAGAACCACCCTGCATTGATAAAAATACAGTCACTACTTTTTTTTGCAATCCCCAAAAAACCTAAACAGTCTCAATAATCAAGCAATATGACGTCATATTGCACAAGCCTCGCACATGACCACTGACGGACCATCCCGTATTAGCATATCTCCGTCCTCAGCCAGTTAGACGCGGTCTGCTATTTTCTCCGCCCTCAGCAGCTGTACCGAAAACAAATCCCTTGTCCAAATACCCGCACTTGCGGTCTTTGCACTTGACCACGTCCACTTGACTTGTATGACGTATTTCCTGAATTTCGTCCAAGTGTTCACGTGAGCATGAAGACCACAAGTGTGTGTAGAACTTTTCATTATCTGATGGGACACACTCATAGTGTTGTAAAAATGCAAGTGTTTACAGAGCTTTATTTTTATTTTCAGTGCTTTACATTTTAAAATCAACTTCTAAATCTCTGTTCAGTAGTCCCTATAACAGATGACTCAATTTCATTTTGTGGTGCTTATAATTTAGTGATAAAAAGCAGTTGCAAATGTTATGCAAAATAATTATCACCACTACTCATTTAAACCAATAAAACGTGCAACTCTTTATTTTACTACAAAATTATATTTAATATCTCACTATTATTAATATTTAGCATACATTGGAAAGGTTTCCGTGAATCTTCCGAGATCTCGGCAAAAAGTCTCACGATTTATTTCCACAACATGATGCATGATGGGATA